CTCTAATAGAAGGTTTCTCAACCTTCACAACTTTAAAGTGGGGGGGCCTCCACCTCCAAAAATCCCCAAGGCGGGCTGGGGATTTTTGGGAGTTGAAGTCTACCCATCTTAAAGTTGCTGAGGTTGAGGAACCCTGCTATAAGAGACAAAATAATTATCTCCACCTCCTCCCTCCCTTCTAGATATCTGTGACAGGGATGGAAAATGGAAATATTACTTTTTTTACCTTCATCCTCCTTGGTTTTTCCAACCATCCTCACTTGGAGATTGCTCTCTTTCTGGTGGTTTCCATAATTTATGGAGTAACTCTCTTTGGAAACTTCTTCATCATCATCTTGATTGGTCTGGATTCTTGTCTCCATACTCCAATGTACTTTTTCCTCAGCAACTTGGCATTCTTGAATATTTGCTACACATCTGCTGTGGTCCCCAAGATGCTTATCAATTTCCTGGCCGTGCGAAAAACTATATCATATACTCTATGCATTGCGCAGGTATATACCACACTTTTCTTGGGGGCAGCTGAGTGCCTTCTGCTTCTGGTGATGGCGTTTGACCGGTACATCGCTATTTGTAACCCGCTGCATTATGTGACCACAATGGACAAGAAGGTCTGCCTTTCTCTTGCTTTAGGAGCATGGATCATCAGCTTCCTATTAGTGATTCCAGCTTTTATTATGACACCGTCTTTGTGCAGTTCCACCATTGACCATTTGTTTTGCGAAGTACCTGTTATGCTTCAGTTGGCCTGTCCAAATGCTGACACATCAATTAGTGAGATCTTGATGGTCACGGGGAGTACACTCACCCTGTTGATGCCACTTGTCTTGATTTTGTTGTCCTATGTCCGCATAATTATCACCGTCTTTAGAATCTCTTCTGCAGATGGGAAGCGGAAAGCGTTCTCCACTTGCTCAGCCCACATCACAGTGGTGACCATCTACTATGGAAGTGGAATGTTCATGTACATGAGGCCAAAGGCTGGCTACTCTGCTGAGAAGGATAAACTGATTTCACTTTTCTACTCCGTGATCAACCCAATGCTGAACCCCATCATATACAGCCTCCGAAACAAAGATGTGAAAGAGGCCCTCTTGAAAGTATTGGAGAGAACCAAAGCGTTTTACCAAGAATAAATCTAGTCTTCAGCTCTAGTTATCTGTTCTTTCCTTTTGATTTGAAGATTTCAGTGGATTTGAAGATTTCAAATGGAATCATCCTTGCCATCTCCAAGAACAGTTGGGAAAGACTCTTTTGTCTTGTTCAAAATCTTGGTGAGCTGGTGCTGGTCAACATGGACAACACTGAGTTTAATTGTCCTGGATTCACATACTGTGCTATGCCATAATGTTGTTTGCTTGTTTGTAACTTGTTATATGACCTTAGGTACTGTAATTTGTAAACCCTATTTATGGCTCAGTGTAATCTGTGAACCCAGCCAATTGTATTTTCTCAAACCATATTTCAGCAAACTATGGTTTAATGCAATTTGTGATAGAGTAATCAGATGTTGTACTAATGATTGGGGAGAGGTAGATTTTTAAGTCCCTGCAAAAGTGAGTGGGTCAATTACTCATTCTTAGACTCACCTAACTCGAAAGGTTGTTGTGGAGATAAAAGATGGTGATGGATCATGGATGTTAGTCTAAGCTGGGGGGAAAGATGAGATATATTAAAGTGAAAAATCAGATCAGCCCCTTTTCTGTTCTAATACAGTGGTACCTCTAGTTACAAACTTAATCCGTTCCATGACTCTGGTTGCAACTCGAGTTGGTCTCAAGTCCAAGTAAAGTTT